TTGCTACTTATGATGCATTCTGGTAAAACTCTGGAGATTTGGTCTCCTGCAGACACAGCTACACAATTTGACTCTTATACAAATGTAAATGTGTTCACGTCCCTGTGAAAGCTGCATTTTTGTGAGCAGCTAACCTTGACCTGGTTTCTGTTTGCTCTAGGAAGCATCCACTTCTACTTGGTTCTGTGGAAAACAGCTTCGTAAAGGAGCCGAGAGAAGAAAAGGCAGAAAATAACTACATTAAGTAAAGCATTTCTCCTTTGATTCAGATTGCTGTGGGTGATATTAGAGCCATTTTAGAAGGAGGTGGGGTGGGCACAGCAGGGGATGTGCGTGTGCAGACACAGCTTCCTGCTGGGTCTGGAGAAAAGGGCAGCAAACAGGGCCATGGGAGCTGGGCTCTGCGGCAGCAGCATGTGAAGGGGGAGCTGGTTCTGAAATGAAATAACCACTTACTAGCTTTGTGACACTGGGCAAATTACTTTCTTAATCTCACTTTCCATCAGTTTCTATCTATAAAAGATGGGTGTAATAATAGGCCCTATCAGAAAATTGTCCAGTGGTTAAATTCAAATGTGTACTAAATATTATATTTAATAATAAGTATTAAACATATTATATGTATTTCTCTCTAAAGTAGTTTGGGTGTCATTCTAAGAGTCCTGGCAAGGCCTTGAGGATTTGAAGTAGACACACACACACAGAAAGAAGGCAGTACTTAGCACACAGTAAACCTTGCAAAAAATGTTAAATTATATAAGAAACAAGTGGGTGGTGCTTTTTATATACAGTAAGGTAAGATGCTCTTAGTAAGTCTAAATTTTTGTTAAAAAAATCTAAAAGCTGTTTCTATTCTAAAACTATGCTTTCCTCTAGACTGCTTTGAGGACTATAGTTAGCTAGAGTTCATGCCATATTATTATTCTCTCCACAAATATCTTTGTAAATAGTACTGCAGTCATTTGCTTAATAAGCTCAACGTACCGGTATAACCTATTTAAGGCACCTTGTCAGTTTTTAGATGTTATAGCCTGAAGAAATTTGGAAAACACAGAAAACATGCATTATGAGAAGGTACCAGTAATAATGCGCTTGAAGGTATGCACCTTATCAATGGTTAAAAATGATTTGTTTGGTCCAAACTCATTCTGACTTGTGGTTTAAGAGCCTCTGTGGTCCTTAAATTCCCATGGAAATCTTATGTTTATATAAGTTCATAGGTCATTTCACTGAGCAAGTAATTAAAGAGAAGAAAGCACTTTTTCTTAAACAAGAAAGAATAAAGATCCACCTGCTATTATCAGATGTAGCCAGCTGTCTGATGCAAAATAGTGAGCCATTGGATTCCTATGTAATTGGAGCTTTTGTTCATTGGTTGGCCATTAAGCATGATATTAAGTTGTAAAAGTCTACTCAGGGTTTATAGTTACCAAATTCACTAGGGACAGTCAGGGAATGAAGGACAATGAAAATTGTTTAGCTTTAAGGCACCTTTGAATTTGAGGAAAATAAATGCTCCCTATAAGTGAAAGTCAACATATTAAAAATTCAGGTGGAAGGTATATGAAACCATTCAATGAGTAGCAATATTCACTGTTTGTTCATATGCACAATGTTGCTCCGTTTGCTCTCCATAGATATTCTGGGAGGAAGATGGGGCAGGAACTACTTTTGGTTTCCCCGTTGTGGATACCAGCTCTGGGCAGTGTAACCGCCCACTGTCTCCACTGGGCACACCGGAGCCCAGGGACCAACCCACCAGCAGGTCTGCCCTGCATTTCTTTGTTTTACCAACATTCCACAATGTCACCTAAATAATTCGAAATGCTTGCTTCAAATCAGTACTGTGACCACTTAAGCAGGAAAGGATGTGGGCAGAATGAAGATAAAGGGAAGAAGGTTTGGAGGATAAGCAAAGGCAAGACCCAGTGGCAGAGTGAAAGAAAGATGCAGGGACAGGAAAACAAGGCTGAAGAGCTGAGCAGGGGGCTCACAGGTTACAGGGCTGGCACAGCCTCCTAGACATTGGGATGTCATTTGCAGCTATGCTACATAGTCCTTTAGGAATTTTTGTTGTTTTTGGTTTTGGCTCATTTTGTAAATAGCTTATCTGCTGTGTTTTTATCCTTTAAGGTTATAACTTTTTAATGTTTTTAAGCTTTTAATGTTTCTTTGGCCTTTCTTCTTTTGTCTTTTATTTATATAAGTGTTTATTGGCATGTGGAATAAAGTATATGAATGTGTTTAAAATTTTTCTCCTTTGTCTAGTTCTTTATTATTGTATTTAAGAAATTCTTGAATGATCGTAGAACATACATTCTTACTCCAGGTATAGAAAAGGTTTAACTCACAATCAGCTGACCTGACAGTTATAATGTAGAATTTCAATATAAATCAATCAAGTTTTCTCTTGTTCTGTATTAGAAAATCGGGAGACTTGAGTTTTTGTACAATTGACCTTTTAGCTTTAACACTAACCTGCCATAGGGCTTTTGTTCGCAATTTTACTTTTCCCTGCTGTGAAAAATCAAGTGACGTCTGTCATCTTTGCTCCTGTTGACTTGATGAGGTATTCTGAAATATAATTCTGATACTGAGTACAAAAACAGGCCCATTTTATTTCGCACAATATGAATTAGCATTGTATTCATTCAGTTAGGACGCAAACACTTAGGTTGAAAACCTTTTCTGGGTATTCTTTAGATCTAGGCATCACTATTGAATTTTATTACTATAATCCTACCAATTCCATATCCTGAATTAACTGTTTTCCCACTGGTACCATTTCCTACCATTGGGGCATATAGAGGTACCTGGCATGCCCATATTCTTTTACCTTGTGGAAAATGGGAGAGAAGGTGGTAGCATAAAGCCAGAGAATTAGACTCAGGAACATGGTGGTTCATATTATTGGTGAGCTAAAAGAACTCAGACCTAGTTTCAATTCTTTGACTGTGTGGTTCTGTAAATTTCAAATTGCCAATCCTCTGTGGGCCCCTCATTTCCTAGTCTCCAACAAGAGGGGATGGAACAAAAATTTTAACTGAAAAATCTTTTGTTTTTCCTCCAAATTAATCTTATATAAATCCCAAATGCAAATAAGACCAAGTAGAGCCCTCCTGGTTGCTTTCACAATCCTCCTAAGCCAGCTGAGTTTCTCCATGTATCATAATATAAAAATCAGTGGGCTGAATAATATTTAGGACACTTCCAGTTATAAATGTATTGATGTCTATCTTACAGCAGAAGTAATCTAAGTTACTTTTAGTAGGGGAATCTGCTTGCTCAAAAACTTTAATACTAAACCACCAAAAAAAAAAAAATCTCTTCAGTCAAGTGTGTAGCACACTGCAGTTTGGTGTTTGGCTGCTCTGAGCAGGAGGATGTGTACTTGGTCCTCTCATCAGCATGAAAGGGAGAATAGCGCCCAGCAATTTTAACAATTTTAAACATCATCATTACCTTATGTACAAGTTAGATGACTCTTACAATTGTATCAATGACAAAAAGAAGGCATTACAGCCTTTCTAATATACTAGTCATTTATTTTTATAATTGACTTTTTGGTAGTTTATATAAAGATATGTTATACATTTGCTTACTTAACTTGCACTGTATTTTTCCTACCTAAGCAGAATCATAGGCCCACTTTATGAAAAGGGAGAAGATTTAAGGCTCCCCCTCCTTTCCCATACAAATGCTTGTTATCTACCCAAACAATCCAAGAAAGCCACACCAAAAACAAAATCAAAAACAAGCACTGAAGGACAACTTTGCTAAGACTAACCTCTGCCTCAGACTATGTGGAAGTAAAGCTTTTATTTCTTAGATGATAAAAAGAGATAATAAAGTGTTTAACACTCAGATAAGTTGAGGAGTTGCACTATATTCCAGCTTTAAGAGGATCACTTGTCTGTCTTTGTAATTTTATGAATTTTCAGGACATTCAACACTTTACTGAAGTATAATGTGTATCAAGGAACATGTATAAGGGACCCATGGACGAGGATAGTGGTTGCGGGGGGTGGGGGTGTTGAATGTGGGAGAGGGTAGGCAGGGCAGGGGAGAGCAATGGGGGGACATGGGGGCAACTGTAATTGAACAATAAAAAATTAAAAAAAGAAAAAACAATATGGCTCCGTGAAATAAGTCAGACAAATACAAATGGTATTATAACGTGTGGAGAGGGGGTTGGGATGGGTGGAGGAGGGCAAGGGGAGAAGAACTGGGACAAGTGTCTAACAATACAGAATAGCAATAAAAATGATAAAAAAAGTAAAATTAGTAATAATTACTATATATTGGATTGTTATGAGTGTTAATCCTATGTAAAATACTTAAAATATTGCCTGGCTCAAGGCAAGCACTAAATAAATGTTATTAACTACTCTAAAATAGAACAAACACATGTGGAATGTAAAAATACAAAACTCATAACGGACTAGAGTGGTGGTTGTCAGGGCCTGGGCATGGAAAAATTGGAAGATGTTGATTAAAGAGTACAAACTTCCAGTTATAAGATGAAAAAGTTCTGATGATCTGACATATAGGAAGTGATTATAATTAATATTACTATATTATATGCTTGAAAGTTGCTAAGGTATATCTTAAGTGTTCTTACCACAAAAAAAAATGGCTTTCATATGATATGATGAAGATGTTAACATTATGGTGGTCATCACTTTGCAATATAAAATTGTTTTCAAATCAACACACTGTATACCTTAAACAATTTTACATGTCAAATATATCCTAATTAAGCTGAAAAAATATAATTGGGTAATTTCCTTAAAAAATCAATATAGTTAATGTAACTTGGAATCTCAAAACAAATTTAACATTCTCTACCCAACCCCACAAACATTAGAAAATTGAGAAATGATTAAAAATCTCAGGTCCTCTTTATATTACTTATTATTTACTCTGGATAAACTTTCTGAGCCATATGTTGTGCATTTGTTTCTTTATGTGTTGATAATTCATTAAATAAAATATTTCAGATCCTTCAGAAGAACTTTACAGCCTAACCTCAGAAGATTCAACAGCCTTCAACTACAATTCGCTTAATATAAGTCAGTCGGTCCTAGATTTCTTTAAGACCTCGCGTTCTACTGGCCCCTGTGGAATAGAAAAACCAAGGTAGGTTAAACCTGCAGTTTATATGTAAACATAATTCCTAGTAACAATTTTGACAAGTCCCAACTAATTCTTTTTATTATGTAATGAAAGATTGTCCTCATGCGTGTACTTTTAGGCCATTTTTTGTAAATATGTTTCTGTTCTTTGTTGACCTTTTATCAGGATTTAGTAAAAGACTTATGAAGGTGTTACTATAATATGAAGAGATAATTCTAAGATGCAAAACATGTCCTAAAAATAAAAAAAAATAATCCTTCAGCATTCCTTTTTAAATTGAAAAACAGTTGCCTTTAATTAAGCTAAAAATTTTAACTCTTTGCATTAACAGAATCTTACTTCACGTGAATAAAGTTTTTAGAATAGAATATTGAGAGGTTTCTTCCTTGAAATTGAATCCAGGCTGTTAATGATAGCATATTTTCATTCATTATCATTTCATTCTTTTCTCACATAAGGTAAGAGCTTTTAAGGATGACAATCAGTTTCTAGGGAACGTAGGTTATACTAATAAATGCTTAAGAAAAGTATTTCATCAGGCTGCTCTACTATTGAAATACTGGAATTCCTTGAAAAAGGAGGAGAGTTTATTACAGAAGGTTTATGATAAAAATAAATAAAAGTCCTGTGTATTATAAATTCCTTTAATTGATTTGAAGTCTAATATTGCAGTAAAAGGAAATCAAGAGTGTTACTCTCTTTTCTCTGAAGGATGAAAACAGTTAGCTGAAGTTCTTGGATTTTTGTATTTCTAACACCACTGAAAATTTATTTTCAAAAGGAGTCAGTCTAAAGTTGCTATTTTTTCCTAAAGCCATTAAGAACAAAGTACCTACACCTACCACTTATTGTCACCATAATTTCATAAAAGAAGGGACATTTAATACCAACAATATAAGGGGAACACATTAACAGAATAAAACAGTCATGTCATGTCAATTAAAATTAAGACTGTCATGTAAAAGTCATTACTACTGAAAATTCTTTATCACAGTTAAATCTGTGCTGGACCATGGATGAGAGCACAGGCTCTGCTGACTTAGCCTGTGTTGGGCATGAGAAAGAATGATATAAGCCAAGAATGTTTATATCATTCATGGAATCTTACACAAGTATTTTATATTACTTAGTGGCATACGTGGGCTGGCAATCTAAATAACTTAGACCCAAACATCTAAATTGTGCAGGCTCCCCTCTGTTCCCCACTCCACCTTTTTTCTCAAACCCTAGGACCCCACACCCTTGTCTCCAATAGGGCTTCCTCTTCACAATAAAATGCAACAAATAAAATAACTCAATAATTGTTGCCATTAATTCTGGTTTTGGCATATCTTAACTGGCTATCCACATAGTCCTAATTTACTATACACAAAAGAGGTGGTTTATCTGGCAGTCCATTCATTGGGATTCTATTAAACAGCCAGTGTAATGATGAATGTCCTTAACGATGACCCTGAGGCTCAGCAGGTTTCTGAAGTGCCTGCTGAATCATCAGTGAAAGACATGATCAGAGATCATAAAATCTTCTCTCTTTGGTACCACTATGGCTGTATTTCTTGGGAGAGGGAGAATGATGAGGATTTCTCATTAAAGGGAGGCTTGGTATATTGGGCACATTGAAAATTACGGCCCCAGTCTGAGGCAGCTTCCTCACATCTGCCCGCCTCCAGTGACTTCTACGTATGTAGTATTGATCAGAAGATAAATGAAGAGTTGCGACCTGGTTCTGTATATTGTGTATTGATCTTTTAATGTATTTCCAGCTCTTCTGAAAAAGATACTGAAATTCAGTCTTCCCTGACACTTTCTGAGAGCAGCACAGATGAGGAGGAAGAGGAATTTTCTTGACAAGCAACTTGTCATCACACTACTATGGCCAAAAAGTACCTAAGGATCATTTGTTTATTACCTCTTACGTTTTATACCCAAAATAAACAGAAAAAAGTTAGCAACTGAAAAAAGTAATCAAGTGATTACTCTTCCAGGTTCTGGAGAGGTTCACTGTTATTAATGTCTCTGATATTTTAAGGTTTGCAGACTAATAAAAATTGGTAAAATTATAAGTTTAAGGACTTTTTCTTCCAAATAACGTATCATATGTGAGATAATCTATCTTGCAGATCATATTAGTAAAATTTGGTGATGTAAAAAAATAACAGTTATAACTGTGTCTATAGAACCTACCATAGACTACAATATTATTACATTTAAAGTAATATGTAATTGTTAAATTATAGTTTAAATAATTATATCATCAGTGTACAAGAGTGTACATCTGATGGCCAAATCATACTTGGCAGTATCATTAAATGTGCTTGGAATCCATTTTTTACTTTGGGAATTATAGGGCTTTTTTCTGCTAGTTCTTATAGTTTCAAAAGTTTCTGCTAGAAAAAGGAAAAGGGTCTCATGGATATGGACAAACTGTGTGGTGATTCCCAGGGGTAAGGGGAGTAAAAGAGTACTAAGTGGTAAGGAAAAAATACAATAAAAAATTAAAAATAAATAATTATTAAAGTTTCTGCTAGAAAACAAAAAGAAGACCCAAAATAAAGTGGGCATAATTCTTTACCTCTGTTCTAGTAAAACACAGAAAAGACCCTCACGAAAACATTTTATTTTAGGAGGGCCAGTGAAATGGATAATTTTATGCGTCAATTTGGCTAGGCTACAGTACCCAGATATTTGGTCAAACATTCTTCTAGCTGCCTCTGCAAAGGTATTTTTAGATGAGATTAGCACTTAAATCAGAAGACTTTTAGTAAAGCAGATTACCCCTCAGAATGTGAGTGAGTCTCACCCCATCAGTTTAAGGGCCTTAAGAGAAGAAAGAGTGAGGTCATCCAATGGAAGAGGGAATTGTGCTTTCAGACTTCTTCCAGATTCAGGTTGCAGCATCACCTCCTTCCGAGTCTCCAGAATGCTAGCCTGCCCCATAGATTTTGGATTTGCTGGCCTCCACAATTGGTTCTGTTTTTCTGTAGAATCCTAACTACTACAGTCACTATGAAGGACTGTTGTGATAGCCAAAGAAAACAATAAATGATGGAAGTATTTTGCTAGTCTTGGGGAGTAGTAGATACTTGAGTTTATGGGTATTCAAGGTTTTACAGGGTCTTATAATTCAGGGATTTAAGAGCAAAAATGACATGGAGAGAAAGAGAGAGTTTTACAGTCTTTTTTAGGAGAGTTTCACCTTAAGGAGTTTGTGGACTTATTAGAAAAATACCCCTGCAGGTTGGTTGTGCCATCACCATAGCATAGTTATATCTCAGTGTTCAAACTATTTTTCTTCTCTGTGACTCTGGATAGTAACGCCTTATGCAAGACTGATGGTTGGTGAGTGTAAATTCATCTTTGATACTTTTTTTCCATGGCATCATTAAATTGTACTGACATTCACACCCATCATCTACTGACAGGATAGAAAATGCCGATGAAGAGACCTAGAGCCATTGCTATGTTTTTTAACCGAAAAAAATATCTTTTATTAAAAGTGATTAACATAAGTGAACAAGTAGCAATCATCAAAACCAATCATACTACCAGAATAAAATTTTCAAAGGAAATACCTTAAAATTAAGTATGTGACTTCCCAGTAATTTTCATTGTCCCCTGAGCACTTCCTTCATTATCATCCCATAGAGAGACAACCTGAGTCACCCTTGAATCTTCATCATTTATCTCAAAAGCCTTTCTAGCATCTTGTCTTGCTGCTGTTAGCTTTATGAGTTTTAGTATCTTTAGTTAAAATAGGGATTACCTGTTCAAATATGATAGTTTCCTTTTTAATATGTTTGTTTAGGTTTAACTTTTCTTGACTCTCCTTTCACTCCTTTGCTGTGAGACAACATCCTCCTTATACTTCTGATGAAGAGCATTGTTCCTCTGAATAAAATATATAACTCCAGTGTTTTTCTCAAAGTGAGAGGAGGTGTTGTTCTCTTCTCATTAGGGAAGTAGGATCACTAGTATTTTTTCTCTGTGTTCAGTCATAGCTTGAGTCTTCTATGAACTAGTGCAGAAAGAAATTTTGTAAAATGCCATTGCCTTTTACAAAATAATAATTCTGAAATAAAAAATTAGGCTGATAATTAGTTATCATCAGTGCATTTCTGGCCAGAATATGAGAAAGAGCATACCATTGACTTTGTCATTTGACTTTCAGCACGGCGTTGAAATTAAACATGAGGGTCCTCTGTGATGAGCAGAGCAGACCCCCTTCTGCCTTTATTTGCTTCCCATCACTGCACATTTAGAAAAGTTCCTTAATTCCTTTGCCATTAGTCTAATGAGGAAATAAAAACTAAATAAGATTAGAGCCTTTGCCCGAAGCAACCGCAATGTGTTCTCTCATTTTGAAGCTCAAGCTTAAAATTGCTCTTTAAGGCAAGCATCTAGTTCTGACTGTTGAATTGAATTATAGACACCCAGAACAATCACAGCCATATTCCTAATACTAGAGTTAGTATGGTGTGCCTCTCACAACTGTTATACAAACAATCACATAGTTATTACATGCATATTGGGATTTAGTGGTTTATGTTCAGACTTACCTGGTTGTGTAATAGCTCTATGAAATTCTGTAATTTTACAGGTCCAGACATACACATTATAGAAACAAATTGACATTAATTTGATAGTTTTAATCTGTTGTTATTTGTTGAAGTCCTTCATATCCAGTGCACTCTTGAATGTGTCACACAACACAAGCCAGGGGTCTATTACCCTTAAGACCACTTAATGTTGTGCCTTAACTCTGATGGTCAGAAAGCCTTTTTTTTTTTTTTAAATGAATGTTACAAAATGGCTTCATCTTTCTAATAGGGCACTCAGATATTTGGAATAATGCCTTGATTTATTTTTTTTAAAAAAACAATTATCTCTATGTCTATGATTCAGTTGTTGGAAAGCTCTTGAGCAACACTATACACTTATCTTGTTTTTGACCACATACTATTTAAGTTCTCAAAATGTACTTGCTCCATAAGACTTTCTCTAATTTCTATCTAAATTCTTGTTCCTTTTCCTTTATTTCTTTCATGGCATCCTATTTTTCCCTTCATAGCACCTATAATTATTAATTTGTCTATATTTTGAATGTATGTCTCCCAATTAGACTACACATTTCCATGGAGCATTGATTATGTCTATTTTGTTCATTACTATACACTTAGCCCCTTAGCATATGTTTAGCTTGGACTGGGTGGCAATTAGTAATGAATAAATGAATGATGAATGAATGAATGAAGCAGGACCAACTGAAAAGCTATCTGTGTCCCTGACTTTTCCCAAGGGGATGCAGTATGATATATGTAGTGGGGGAAACACAGGTTATCAGCTTACACTCTACTAGCTGACAGACTATTTATTTGAAATTGTTTCTCCATCATGCATTGGAGAAAAAGATACTGACTTAGCTCAAAAGAATGTTATGAGAATCAAATGCAGTAATCGATGTGAAGCACTTTAGGAACTGGAACGTGCTCTGTCATGTTTATCATCACTTTATATGAATTTGGACTAAAGTCAGTGAATACAGAGACAAAGTAGTCGGATCAATTAGTGAATTTAGGATAAAGTTGACATAAACTATTCACAAAAATTGAATATCAAAAATGGATAATGGTTTCAGTGAGTTGGAAAATTAGATTGAATGATGTAGAAAGCTGACATTTATGTTGAAACCTAAATATCTAAATTTATTAAAATATTTCTGAAATATTGTTCATTATGTTTGCAGATTTTGTCTATTATGTGTAAGTTCAGAGTTTTTAAATATTAACATTGCACTGGTACTTTATAAACACTTGCATGATATTTTCAAAGAGGAGAAATTTTAAAAACATACTATTTATACTTCCCCCAATCTGTTTTTTTTAATAGAAGATTCTGTTTCAGCATAATTTTCATCCCTGGTTATTTATTGTTAGCCACATTTTCATAAAAACAATCTTTATTTCCTCAGAGTTCATCTGTGCCTCTAGTTTATTCCCCACCTAAAGTCATATTTCTTTGTTAGTGACATCCTGATTGTTTGCTGGGTAAATGATTATGATGTTACAAACACGATTATGACTTTAGTAGGGAAATAACCAGCAGGCATAGATGAACTTTAAGAACAAGAAGATGTTCCTCTTCTTGCTCTTAATGCAAATGTGTTTTATAGTTAAGGAAAAGGAGTGGATATTCTTAATTTTCTCTGTGAAGTGACAGTTATGTTAACAATAAAAATAATTAATTGATTGATGAAGTTATCTTGTTTTTTTCCCCAAATACAAATAATCTATAATAACAATATGGAAACATAGTTCTGAAAGGCCTGTCTCTATTTGTTCTTATTTCTGACAGAAAGAAACTGTATCCATTTTTCTATATAAAAATGCTTAGATTTCCAAGAGAGGAAATGTACTTCACCCTTATTTTAAAATTAACTAAACCTCACATAGTCAATAGACATTAAATATGAAAGAGATGTTTAGGGTAAGTTTTGATATAATTTCCCATTTTTTAAGGTAACAATCATATTTTTATAAAGTGATTATTTTTTTGTTTCTTCAAACAAAGACACAGTTCTTAACTTTAATACTTAAAAAACGAGAGCTACAAGTGCAGGTGGGAGACAGATGTATCTGTTACTTTTCAAAAGTAATCATCACAATTACTTTCTCTTCTGATGTCCTCTGCCATAGCTTTGGAAGAATAGCTTGTGAGATAGACTGTTGAATCAGTGAGGATTTGGTTTAATTTTCTATTACTGGAAACACCAGACAACAATGGAACAACAGAAGTTTACTTCTCTTGTATGTCAAGTCTGGGAATAGGCAGTCAAGAGCTGGTATGACAACTACATCTTATTACATTATTGCCATCCTCAGGGTCACCCCATTA